CTTGCATAAGTCTGGAGTCTGGGGGAGAAAAAAGTTCCCTTCCCCATTTACCCCCGACTCACCATCCCATTGTGGTGCTGGAAAAGAGGGAGCCTCGGTCCAGAGCCCCTCCATAAAGATGTGGCCCTGTGACTGCTCTGCCTCGGGTGGTTTCAATTCGTTGCCCTTTGCGCGTCTGAAGTCAGGGAAGGACCCTGTCCCATTAACCTTCTACTGGGTGTAACTCTGGACCCTTCCCCCCCTCCCCACTCCCCCAACGTCAGTCCTCAAGTTCTAGCAATAGAATCAGTCTGGTTCTCTGGGATGATCCCAGCCTCAACTGGCCTTCCAATCTAGCCCGGAAAGTTTCTCAACACCGCTGGGGAAGGGAGGTACGGGGTCCTCACCTCTCTGGGGACCGGGTTGGGGCTAGGTGCACCGCTGTCACACCGTCCACTCCCTCCGCCTACTCCGAGCACTGTCTAGTCAGCCCAAGCTCCTCAGCCGCCGCCTCCTCCCGGATCCCGGCTACACTCCCAGCCCAGCCCCGCCCCACCTAGACCCGACCCAACCCAAACGGGAAAGGGGGGGCGGGGCGGAGGAACTAGGGAGGGCCCTCGGCCACAGCAACTGAGTCCTCCCGGACAGGCCCCCTGGTGGCCAAGCAACCTGGGTTTTCCCTCTCCAACAAGGTCCCCCAAGATGGGGGGTGACTGCATTGTGCCTCCTCTGGCTCTCGGGCTCTCGACCAAATCAGTTTACATTTGATTATAATTAGCGCACAGCTATAAAGCACAATGAGATTTCCAAGGAATTGTCTTCAGAACTGAGAAATTGGGAATACAAGTATTATTGTTCTTTTTACAGGTGAGCAAACCGAAGACCCGAGAAATTGTGACTTACCTAAGATCATACAGTTAGTCATTATCGGAAATCAGAACTAGAACTCCAGCCTTCTAACTAAAAAGCCAGTGCTTCTGTGAAATGATCCAAGCATTTTGGAGAACAACCTGGAACTGTGCCCAAAGGGCTACAAAAATGTGCATACCCTTTGATCCAGCAATAGCACTTCTAGGGTTATATCCCAAAGAGATCATACAAATGGGAAAAGGACCCACATGTACAAAAATATTCATAGCAGCTCTTTTTGTGGTGGCAAAGAATTGGACATTGAGAGGATGCCCATCAATTGGGGAATGGCTGAGCAAGTCGTGGTATATGAATGTAATGGAATACTATTGTGCTATGAGAAATGATGAACAGGCTGACTTCAGAAAAACCTGGAAAGACTTATATGGTCTGATGCTGAGTGAAGTGAGCAGAACCAAGAGGACTTTGTACACAATAACAGCCACTTTATGCGATGACTAATATTGTTAAACTGAACCCTTCTCAGCATTACAAGGATCTAAGACATCTCCAGAGGCCTCAGGATGGAAAATGCTGTCCATATCCAAAGAAAGAACTATGGAAGTTGAATTGCTATCACTTATTTTTACCTTCTGTTGAGTTTTGTTTCATCTTTCTGATGGTTCCTCCTATTGGTTTTAATTTTTACTTACAACTTCACTGATGTGAAAATATGTTTCATGGGTATGTAAATGTAAAGCCTATATCAGATTGTGCCATCTTGGGGAGGGTGGGGGGAGGAAGGGGGAGAAAAATTTTCAACTCAAAAGCATATGGAAGTGATTGTTGATAAATCAAAATAAATTAATAAAATTAAAAAAAAAAAAGAAAATGCTGCCCACATCCAAAAAAAGAACTATGGAAGTTGGATCGCTATCACTTATTTTTGCCTTCTGTTGAGTTTTGTTTCATCTTTCTGATGGTTCCTCCAAATGGTTTTAATTTTTACTTACAACTTCACTAATGTGAAAATATGTTTAATAGGAATGTAAATAAAGCCTATATCAGATTGTGCGCCATCTTGGGGAGGGTGGGGGGGAGGAAGGGGGAGAAAAATTTTCAACTCAAAAGAATATGGAAGTGATTGTTGATAAATCAAAATAAATTAATAAAATTAAAAAAAAAAAAAGAAAAGCCAGCACTTCCTTTTACATCACCCTGTCCAGTTTAATTTGTGGCCTTCAATTTTCTTTTGTTTAGCCTCACCCTTACTCCTTACCATAAACCTAGAAAATAGTTCCATCTCTGCTACATCCGAGCTGTATCATCTTTAATCTCCACCCTCTGCCCCAGCCAAACGGGACCCAGTGTACAAGTTTATCATCTCAATGGACACTGTTGGTCACCTTCTCTGCTTGGACACCCCCTCCTCTCTTGGTTCTGCTCGTACAGTGTCTGACTACTCTCAGGGCTCCTCAGCCAGATCTTCATTCATGTCATCATGGGTGTGCCCCAAGGCTCCATCCTCAAACCTCTTCTCTTTTTTCTATACTCTTTCACTTGGTGGTCATTTAAACAGCTCTGCTTTTAATTATCATCTCTGTGCTGATGAGTCCAAGATCTATCTAGATTGGACCATCTTGCCTATATCCAGGCCACCATTTTAACCTTTCCTCACTAGAACTTTAGACTCTGACCCAGGGATTCCAGATCCAGGAGGTGGGTTTTTGCCTTACCTTACCCAGAACTAGGTCTCCATGTCGCTTTCCAGCCATCTTCTCACCATGCACATGACTCCACCCCCCTCCCTCCCCTTCCAACTATCCTTTATGTTTTGTCTTCTCCTATTAGAATGTTAAGTTTCTTGAGAAAAAAAACTCTCTGGTTTGCTTGTAATTGTATTCTCAGTACTTAGCACAGTGCCTGGCATAAAGTAAGTGTTTAATATATGCTTTATGTATTTTGTCTCTTTCCTGAGCTTTGGTCATCACCAACAGTCTACTGGACATTTCAAACTGGACATCCTATTGGCATCTCAGACTCAATCTACCAAAATGGATCTTGTTGTTATCTTCCCTGCCTCCCTCCCCCCATCACTCCCAAACTTCCCTATTTCTGTTGAAACGCAGGTTGGAAACCTGTGTGGTCCTCAGCTCCTCACCCAACATATCCAATCAGTTGCCAAATCCTGTTTCTACCACTACATCTCTTGAATACCTCTCCTTCTCCACCAACCAGACCTCCACCATCTCTTACCTGGACTACTAAAACAGACTTCTGGTCAGTCTCCCTGCCTTGTCTATCCCTGCTCAAATCCAGCTGGCCAGTGATTTTCCTAAGGGGCAGGAATGACCCCCATCACCACTCCCCCTACTCAATAGATTTCACTGGCTCTTTGTTACTTCCAGGATCAAACAGAAATTCTGTCTTGTACAGCTCTTAACAAGCCAGACCCATGCTAGCTTTCCAGACTCATTATGCTGTGTTCTTTTTACAAACTCTTCCCGTCAAAATGGCTTTCTTGCTGACTGTATACTTCATCTCCTGTCACTATTCCTCCTCCAACTGTTTTATTTTATTTTATCTGGCTAGGCAATGGGGTTAAGTGACTTGCCCAGGGTCCCACAGCTAGTAAGTGTTATGTGTCTGAGGCCGGATTTGAACTCAGGTCCTCCTGAATCCAGGGCTGGTGTTCTATCCACTGCACCATCTAGCTGCCCCCCTCCTCCAATTATTCCACATCCGAAAGGGACTCTTCCTCCTAATGTCTTGGAGTCCTTGGCTTCCTTCAGACTCAGTTTACCAGATACCTTCTGTCCTCCAGCTAGTGCCTCAGCGAGGTTACCTCAGATGTTTTGAATACACTAAGACACTCCTCTCTTCCTTAGAGTCTAAGCTCTGTGAGGGCAGGCACTAACTTGCTTTTGTCTTGGATCCCCAGCTTCTTTCCCTGTGCCTGGCACAAAATGGGGGCTTAATAAATTCTTGTTGACCTGGGTTCAAATACTGCTGTCACTTGTAGCTGGGAAGCCTTGAGCAGGTCACAGCCTCTCTTGGCTCCAGTTTCCTTATTGAAAAATGAGGGGGATAGACTCAATAGCTCTATGGGGGTGGGGGTGGGGGGGTCTCTTCCAGCTCTAAACCCATGTTCCTTTGATCTTCCACCTTCAAGCTTTCACTCTGGCAGTCTTCCCATGCCTGGAATTCTCTTCCTCCTCTCCTCTTCTAGGAATCCCAAGCTCCCTTTGATGGTCTATTTAGGTGCCAAGTTCTACATGAGGATTTTTCTAATTCACCCAGTTATGGCTTCCCCATCCTTTCCAAAATTACATTGTATCTCTTTTCTATTTATCCCTGCACATATTGCTCCTCTACCACTTCCCCCATTAGAATGTAAACTCCTTGAGGGCAGAGGCAGTTCATTTTGTTGTAGCCCCTGTCAGTGCTTCAGTGCTTGGCACAGAGAAGGCACTTAATAAATGCTTGTTGAATGGAATTAGGCCTCAGCCTCTCCAACTGTTAAATGAATACTTTTGGATTAAATGTGTATTTGACTCCTTGGAGGCTTCAGGCAAATGGGAATTGAATGGATACTTGAAGGGCGAGTAGGATTTGATATAGTGGAAAGAACCTTGGCTCTGGAGCCAGAAGTCCTGGGTTCAAATTCCACCTCTGAGACTTACTACTTGTGACTTTGAACCAGTCACTTAATTTTTGTGCCTTAGTTTGTTCAACTATAAAATGAGGGGGATGGGCTTACATGACCCAAGATCCCTTTAAGCTCTAAAATCCTATGATCCTAGGAGGGAAGAGATCAAGGGACCAGATCGCCATTGACTGGGGCCATCTTTCTTTTTTGGGGGGAGGGGGCTAGGCAATGGGGTTAAGTGACTTGCCCAGGGTCACACAGTTAGTAAGTGTTTTGTGTCCAAGGCTGGATTTGAACTCAGGTCCTCCTGAATCCAGGGCCAGTGCTCTATCCACTGTGCCACCTAGCTGCCCTGGGCCATCTTTCTGGGAGGCTAGTGCTTGGTCTTGGTCACACTCTACCCCAACCTGGACAACCGACCCTTCAATAGCTCAGACAATGGGAAGATGCTGTTCTGCCAGGGGAATGGGGGTATACGTAGAATTGTCTTCCCTAATTCTAATCTAAGTCACACCGGAGGCAGTTGTGGGAAATCATTTTTTTTTAATACGATGTACATGATATAGAATCACAGTTGCCGAAAGTCTGCCAGTTCTGGCTCAGGTAGCTAGAGCCATATCCAATAAATGGAACAACCAGAGGAAGGAGGAAGAGCTATAAAGAGTGTCCTGGATGAGAAAGGGTAAATAGCAGCATGACAGGAATTAGAACCCAGGGCCCTGGAAGGACAGAGGATAGGGAAGGAAGAAGGCTCTCTATATCTTGGCTGCTTGACCCATAGGGTCAGCTCAACAGAGTCCAAGTGAACTTGCTCTATGTGGGTTGGATTTGGGCCCAGGGAAGGAGCCAGAACCCCTCCTTTGAGCAGTGAGAAGAGGTCCTGCTCCTACAGGCTTTGGAGGTGCAGTGCCAGGAAGGCAAGGCAGACGCCATTGCTAAGCAGATTCCCCAAGTTGCAGAGGGAGGAAAGGCCATGATAGTGGAAGAAGGTCTGCCGAAGGGTCCGATACTTGGGATCCTGCTCCCGAAGCCGACGGTAGGGGTCTTGGACCTGGCCCTGGGGAGGTCCTGGGGGTTCCCCACCCAGACCTCGGTCCTTCTCCATTGCTTGGAGGGCCCACATAGCAGCTGTAGTTCTTGGCTCTAGCCACCAGGCATTCAGAGCTGACAGAGCCAGGCTCAAAGCCAGGAGGCCCAGCTGGAAGAGAAGCTGAAGTTAGCTGGGGGGCTGGCCCTGGGACATTGCCCAAGGCCCAAGGTCACAGCTGAGGGTAGCCTTGGGGACCAGCAGTTGCCTCCCAGGGATTTCAACACATTCTATCAGTTGGGAGGAGGCAGGACATGATAGAGATAGTGAAATTCTTCATTCCAACCAACCACCATTATTTACATAATTTTAATTATGCAGTCCAGAAGACTTCTGAGAATTGTATTACCCAGGGACAAAGTTGGAGAATATGTGTCCCACACACGGCAAGGTGAATACAGAAACTTCAGCAAAAAGGAGTTTGGAGTACTATCCTTGGTAGGCTGCCCACTCTAGCATGCCCCATATCCTGGGCATTTGAGAAGGGATAAGAGGAAGCCAAGACAGATTTATCCCCCTCACTCCAATCAAGCTTGTGAATGAAGAGCCAGGGGGTGGAACCCAATCCCCCAGGGAGAGGCCTAAGCCCTCCTGCAAAGACTTAAGTTCCCAGCCAGGCAAGTTTCAGAACAATGAACTAGGTGAAAAGCAGAAGCCAAAAATGAGGCTCAGTCATCAGGACCAATTCCTGGGAACTTAGAAAACACCAGCTCCAAAGAATAATAGCTACATCGAGTGGGAGCTGGTCTAGAGGCCAGATGTTGTCTTGAAAAGGACTGCAGAGTGTCCTGGGTTCTCTCCAAGCCCATGTTCCCTCCTCTCCAGTCTCCCAGGTCTCTAACTCCCACCCTCGGCCTCCTAGTACCTGACCAACTCCTGCCATGGTAAAGCTGAGCTTCACCAATGGGTGATGGAACAGGAAGATGCCCAGGCTGATGGCGGCACAGGCCAGGGAGATGTGGAAGTAGAAAGGGAAGAGCTTGCTCTGGACCAGTCCGAATGTGTGTCGAGGCAGCCTCCGGAACAACACAAATCCTATGGGTAGCAGTGGAGGTGGGAAAAGAGTATAGAGGAGGCTGGTTGGAGAGTATGAAGAACATATTCTGACTCTGCAACTTGGTTCTTTTGTGTGACCTGGAACAACTTATTTCCCCTTTCTGAGACCATATCCTCTCCTTTAAATTGAAAAGATTAGACTAGTGAACAAGTCAGCCTCAATTCCTGGAAATTCAGACCTTTTGCACCTGACCTAGCCTCTTAGGCTAGAAAGGCAGGGATAGAGATCTGCTAAATCCCTCCTGTAGAACAGGGAAGAGTTGGGAAGGTAATAGGCAAAAATCCCACAGGCTACTTTTTAACTTCTCTGAGCCTCATTTGGTGGGGGACTATGGATATGGAATTTTGTATACAATCTTAGATGAGGATGATGTGTTGGTAGGTTTTGCTTAGCTGTTTTTTTTTTTTGGTTATAAGGGAAGGCTCACTAGGCCTGAATATATTCGGAAATGACTGATGCTTAAATGAAAGGAACTAATTAAAATTAAAATAAAGTGGTCTATATGTTTAGCATAGTGCCTGGCATACAGTAGGCATTTAATAAATTCTAGTTGGTTGACTAGTGGAATATTTAAATTAGAGGAACCCTGGGAGGAGTGGGGGAGGGGGAGAAGATTAACCCAGGGGTGAACTCCCTTTTGAGCATCCCTGACAGATACATTCAGGTACTACTTAAATACCTCTATGAAACAGCATTCCCCCCCCTTTAAACTTTTTTTAAATTGGATTTTTTTTAACCTCATTTCTTTACTTATAATGATTAGGTTGGGATCAGAAGGTCAGAGGCTCCCTTACAAAGGTTGCAAAGTTCATTTTTTATGTGGAAACCTGCTTGAACTCTCCCTAATTCCAAATCTGTAAACAAATCCCTATGGTACATTCCGGCTCTAAACCTCGGGATGCCAGGAACTCTGGAGTTTCCTCCTCCCTTCCCCTCCCCCTGGCTCTCGGCAAGGAGCAGAGTCCAGGGTCCCTGGGGGAGGGGAACGTACCTGAGACGAAGGTAACCCAGACCTGCATGCCCCAGGCACTGGACAGGACCAACACCTGGACCACCTTGGCCAGATCACCCGGCTCCTCTCCTGAAGACATCCTGCAGCCCCGGCTCCGCACCTGGGGGAGAGCAGGAGGAAAGAACCAGGCTCAGAGCCCTGCCCACCTCCCACCCCCAAGGAAGGAGCTAGGGTACCCGCAAGGCTTAGGCATTCCAGGGCGAAGGAATCTAGGAGGGCCTGGTTCCCCGCACCTAGGGAAGGGGAAGCGAGGGAGAGGGGGCAACCTCTGGGGCTGGAATCGCGGCTAGGGTTCGGGGAGCCCCTTCCCCAGTCCTGCGCGTGCACGGTCCCGAGAGTCTCGGGCTGCCAGAGGCCAGATCCCGTCTTCTATCTCCCCTACCTTCCCCACGAGAGGCACCTAGTCGGGAAAGGTTGTACCTAAGCTCCGCTCCTGACCAGAGGACTCCGGACCTCAGCAACAGCCCTCTCCGCCCCACCACCTTAATGCTTCAGCCCAAGCATTCCCACCCCGCCTCCTCGCTGGCTTTAGACCAGTCCCATTGCGAGCTCTGTAGCATTTACTCCACCCCTTTTGATTTTTAACCAATCAGTAAGGAGAATGCTTATACAAGACCCGCCTACCTTGTCTCCTACCCCACTGCCCCCGCCTCTTACCGCGACTACGACTCAGGGCTAATCCAATCGCCTTTCGCCTCAGGGAGTACAGATGAGGAATACAACCAATAGGCTTTCGGAATCGCCGCCGTGGGGGTAGAGATACACACAAAGGCTCCGCCCCTCCTCTGTGACTCTAGACTCTATCCTGAGACTATCCCTACCTTAACTTTGTATGGTGTCTCCACTGGATCAAATTTCATCGCTCCAGCTGCGGACTTTTTTCGTGGTCCCTGATGGGCTTAGAGTATGAGCAGCTGGTGGGTATTTCAATTCTATGAACATTTATTGAGTGCCTACTGTGTTCTAGGCCCCAGCAGGAGGGACAGTTCTGCCTTACCCCCAACTTCCTCCCAGCAAGGACTACGCAATGAGAACTCTATGGACCCGACTCCCTCCAGATGTTCTCACCCAGGTGCAAACATCTGGCCTTGACATCCCTAGGATCGAGTTCCAGTTTGAATGGCTGGGTCTGGGGGGAGCAGGATGGGACAGAATTCCTATTCTGGCTATGTGGATTCCAGGGTGTTTCCAGATGTGAACAGCTGTCTAGGGCTGGGAGGGGGGATGGGCAGGTATGGATGGCTGGGCTACCCTATACACCCTTCTCACCCACCACTGAGTATTCTCCCTACCTATCCAAGTGACTGTGTCCTGGCTGGAATTCCTCGGGACTCTGACAGCTCTGGAGTTTCCAGTCAGTCTCCATGCTCATCCTCTCCAAGGGAATGTACACTGCAAATTCGTTCCAAGTCTGATAAACTGAGTGTCAGCTTGGCCTCAGAGAAGCCTTGGGGTCTTGGTATGTATGGAGTGATGCAACAGTTTGGAGGGGTTGGGGATAGACTGAAGGCAAGAGCTAGAGGACTGAGGACCAGCAACAGGGAATAGAGGGGTGCATGGGGGGAGCCTTGGACTTGGGTGCCATCATGCTAATTAGGATTCTGGGCAGGACTTTGGGACTGGGCCACTAGGATAACGGGGAACTGGGGTTTCAAGGTTGGAGACATAGGGGACCTGGAATGATTGAGATATTGATGGCTTGGAGTAATCTTGAAAGAAGGAGCCCCTATTCTCCCAAGCGATCTTAAAGAATGATTTAGGGCCCTTTTGTGGAATCCCATTTGACTTAAGGATGAGAAGGGGTGGGATCCCTGAAGTGTCATCGATGTGACCCTAGCTCTGAATGGCAGGTGTGGTTCATAAGATCAACTTAGATTCACAGAAGCTGAAAAGTGATGAAAAGGAGTCCCTAAAGGATGAACATCTCAATTTCAAGGTGATCTCTTCCTTTGTTCTCTCAGGGTCCCCACCTCTCTAGATCATGTGGTGTGGTAGGGGAAGCATGGACATGGAATCAGGAGACACCTAGGCTTATGTCCCAGCTCTGACACTATATCTGGATGATAGATCCTCAGTAACTCAGCTCACTTGTCTGGATCTCAATTTCTTTATTTGTAACATCTCGGTTACTGGGGACCCGGACTAACCTTGTAGAAGGTTGTAAGAAAGCCTTTTGTAAACCTTAACCTGATACAGGTTAATAGGAATGTTATTAATTAATTAACTATTAATTAATAATATTAATACTTATCAATAGGAAGCTATTATTTTTATTATTGTAGAAGCAGTGTGGTTCAGTAGATGGGAATGTGGTCTTGGAGTCACAAAAACTTGGGTTCAAGTCTTCTTCTGACTTTTAGTAGCTATTTGAACCTGATCAAGTCATTTAATCTCTATGTACTTGAGACAGTCTCCTAGGACTTAATTACTGTTATGGAGGGGAAAGCCCTTTGGTCTCTACTGGAAGAGACACATCCCCACACAAGCACCAGCAAAGGCACAGCCCTTTCGTAAGGTTTGAGGATTGTGGGTCTTGTGACCGTGTGTGTGACGTGACTGTATTGTTTCCACCCTCACCCCAACCCCTGTAGAAGTGGCTGATCTCTGAGGAGACACTTTCCTCAAGCCCGAAGCTGAATGGGAATTCAAAGGGGAAAATGGCCAGGAGCCGGAATGGGAACAGGAACAGGAGTCGGAGCCGGAGCCTGAGCCCAAGCCCAAGACCTCTGATGAAGGCTAGTGACCAGGTACAGGCACGTTCTTATATGTGGATAAGTCCAATGGGGTACCCTCCTGTGTACACCAGTGAATAACTCAGGGGCTCCTTCAAGTCCAGCCTAGCTTCTTCTCCATCTCCATGCCTCAGTTTCCCTCCTGTGATTTGAATGAATGAGGAGACCCTGCAGGATTTGGGGGAGGAAAAAAAGCCCAAATTGGGGTACAGTTGGGCCCTGGAGGTAGTTAGAAAGAGATCTGGAACAGGTTCTAATATGCCCTCTACCCTTTTCCCCCCATGATCTACCATGCTGGCCCTCAGAGAAGCTTGGAGACAGACAATTCTAAGGCCCAAGGTAAGGTATCCTGGAGCCACAGGAGTAGGGAGGATGAAGCCAACAGCCAAAGACCTGTTTTCTGTGGAATAGGGAAATGCAGACTGCTGTCACCCCTTCTAGGGCCTTCCTTGCCTGGTGGGGTGAGGTGGAAAACAGAGACTATGATCTCTGATCCCCCAGGCAAGGTCTCCACCATCATGATTCCTGACTCACAAAAGCTCTTAAGGACAGACTTGGATTGCCTGAAAACTCAGCTTCAAGCCCAGACCAATGTGAGTTGGCCCATCTCCTTCATATTTGTCCTTTCTGATGTTGACCCTACCACAATCGCTGATCTCACTTTCTGACCCAAAACCCTTCCTGTTACTAGGCCTTTGAGTTCCTGAACCACTCTGTGACCCTTCTGGAGAAGGAAAGCAGCCATCAGAGGGTTAAAATCCAGGAGCTAGAGGGTGAGGTTGGGTCTAGGGAATCAAATCACCAGGATTTGTAGGAGGTGAGCTCAAGATTAGGGATAGGGAAGGGTTTCCAGGGTTTCACACCAATCCCCTCTGAACCTAGGTGTGGGAATTTAAAGACACTTCCCAGGGTGAGCCCCTTCCTTCCCAGAGGGGTTGGTAGAAGGAGAGACAGAGGTGAGGGTCAAGCTAAGATCAGAGATCACACTCTCCATCCATCCCCTGGCAGAAGTGATGAGCCTGTCTTGCTGCCCAGCCCAGAATGACCTCCTTAGACGAGGGGCAGAACTAGGGCGTCAGGAGCTGTGGCAGGCACTGGCTCGGGGCCTGCAGGAGGTGAAGGAAAATCTTCGTGGGAGCGAGGAGGTCCAGCGGGGCCGTACCACCCGCTCCCTACTACAGCTGGGCCAGGAGATTCGGGAAAGGTGTGGATCCTGGCTTGGGGGTGCAAGATTTCTGAGAGCAATAGAGAGGCCTTAGGGTGAACAGGAGAGCTAAGGAAGGAGGAAGGAGTGGGGGAGCTGGGAGAGGTTAAGTTTGGGACTCTGTGGCGTGTTATCATTCCCTCCCACCCCCCACAGCAAGAAGTTCCTATGGGAGGAGCTGGAAATACTGCAGGAAGAGGTGACCTACATCCACCAGAAACTCAGTATGTCCCCCACCCCCACTTGTCACCCCCTTGTCCCATTCTTGTCTCTTCATTCCCATCTCCTCTTCCTCTAAGGGCTCCAACCTCTGGGCTGAGGGCAGGGGTCCCCAGTCCCCCCTCCATCCCTGGGGAATGAATGGTAGTTGATATTAGCTCAGCTTTTCTCTTCTCATATCTCCAAGACCTGGATGGAGGGAGGAGGGTCCCATTACTCTTTCCTGAAGGCCCCTCCATCCTCTTGTCCCTATCCCTTTATTCAGAATCACAGGAAGAAGAAATCAACAAAAATCTGGTGAATATCAAGAAAATGCAGAAGAACCAGGTGAAATGTCGAAAGGTAAGGGAAAAGTGGCTGTGGAGGTGGGTCAAGGAAGGATGCAGGGGGGAAGTAAGATGACCAGGGAAGAAGGAGATAGGATGGCTGAAGTCTGAGTCTCCATTTCTCTTCTACCCCCATCTCTGGCTCAGCTTGGGCTGAAGGCTGAGCTGAGACGCCTGAGGTTGGTTCAGGAGAGAAGGTAAGGAGAGGGCCTTACTTCTGCCCTTAAACACCCCCTACCCTTAGGTCCTAACGAAGATGAAACAGCAAGGGGGCATGGTATCTGAGGAGGATACTAAGTCCAAGGACTGGTGGGGGCAAGAGGAGCTGGAGGAGGAGCTGAGTGACATATGGTGAGAAAGAAATCCAGGATGACTAGACCCATTCCTTGAGCCCAGACCTTCATGAGTACCCTCTTTGGTTCCCAGGGACCTATATTCCTTCAAATCCCCTTCAAACCCCTAACTGATGCTGACTCCCAAATAAGGCAAATGATTCCCCCCCTCTAAGCCTGTTTCCTCATTTATAAAATGGGGTGGTGTTGTGATTAATTGGACTAAATGATACCCAGGACCTTTTCCAACCCTAAAACAATCTTGTGAGCCAAGACTTATTGGGAGGGGACATGATGAAGAACCCATCATCCCAACTCCATCATGACCTGGCCCTTACTCCTTACCATTCCCTCGTCCAGATTCTGGGTGCATATTCCAGTCCATTCCCTCTCTAGGTCAGCTGTGAACACTCTGCAGAATGCCATCGAAAGCTTATCCCTGACCGGAGTGAAGCACTGTGGAGTTCTAAAGAGTGAGTGCCCAGGGGGAGGTGAGGCTCTGGGGAGGAGAAAAATGCCTCCCTCCAAGCCTACATTCCAAATACCCCTCTGGAATTTCCTGGCACAGGCCGGAGGGTACGAAAGTGTGTGAGTCCAACACTACCGCCAGCCTGGACAACAGATTCGGATTCAGATGTCAACCCACCTCACAGCCCATAGCCAATAGCCTGACCCATGAAAGACTCCTTCAGTATGAACCCTGACAATCTCCAGCCCCTGGCCCATCCCCCTGGTCCCTGGCCCCTGGCCATAGATGTGGCTTCCTCAGGACCTCTGACCTCAACCCTTGCTCTCACTAGACTCTTCCTGTCCTTGCCCCAGCCTCTTCCCTAGCCCCTGCCTTTGCTCCCTACTCAGATGTCCCTGAGTAGCCCTGATGAGGATCTGACCCTTCACATCACCAGTCTCTCTCTCCACAGGCTGAACTGCTGGGACCTGCCTGATCAAGGAAAGGGAGACGTCCCTGAGGAGAGCCTCAGCCTCCCCAAATCCCCTAAGACAGAAAATAAAATAGGAGTGGCCCCTTTCCCAACACTCTCTGTTCATGCTGACTCTGCCTGCCCCTTCCCCTTTTTCCTTGCTCTAGAAAGGGGTAATTCAGTGGGGCTGGGCTCAGAGGCCAGTCAGGCTGGAGTGAGGGCACAGCCAAGTCTAGGCTAATGGGGGGCTTGAGCCTGTGACCTTGGTCAAATTAGGACAGAGCCACGGGGAGCCCCAGCCCCAAGCTCAAACTACTCACACAGCCATGCTCCTAATAGACACAGCCTTACCACGCACTCCTCCCACAACTCACCCAAGCGCAAACGTCTCAGTCCAGAAAACACTGCCCCTCTCCTCCCCGTCCCCAACACAGCTGGCCCGACCCAAAGGTTCCATTCATTCAGCAAGCATTTACTAAGCTTCTAACGCGTGCCAGGGACTGCGCTAGGTGCCGAGGATACGGAGACAAAAAGGAAATAATCCCGGCCTTCAAGCAGGTTACATTCTACCTCCCTCTCCTGAATGAGTACCGAAGGCCAGTAGTGAGCCCCTGGGCCGAGTGGGGAGGTGGGGGGAGGTGAGCCAGGGAGCGTTTTCACAGACGCCCCGCCCCGGGGCTGGCCCGGTGCTAATGAGCCGGCGCACGTCCGGCGCACTCCCATTCCTCCCTCCATCTCTCCATCCAGCCTTTCCTTTGGTCCCTACCGCTCTCTCCGGCTCCGCTCCCGAGGCTTCTGCTGCATGAGGCAGCGGCGCCCAGAGAGCCAGGGCTTGGTTATCCTTCGGTTCTGTCTGCCTCCGCCTGTCCTCTCGTCGGTCTGCGACATCTGGACATCTGGGACAAAGGCGAACGGCTGGGCCTCCCTCATCGTGGGACGTGGATCCGGGCCATGGAGCGGCCGTGACCCAGGTGGCGGTGATGGGTATTGGATGGTGATATGGGGTCCCTGCTTACGGGGGGAAGGGAGTAAGAGAGCCGTTGTCTGGGAGTAATGGGGGGAAAGAGTACTTGGGATCGCGGGGTGGCGATGGGGAGAGGTGATGGGGGAGGGGGAGACACCGTGTATGTTTGCACGCCTGTGCGAGGCTACGAGTCTGTGTGTTCGCCCACTCGGTTAGGCTTCCCCTCCCAACAGGCAAACACACACACACACAACACACACACACACACACACACACACACACACACGTGTGCTGGAAACGCCAAAACAGCACGGTTAAGAGGAGGTGGGGAGAGGGTAGGGGGCGATGTCCAAGGGGTCCCTCCATATAATGAAGAATACTGTAGCCTAAGTGAATCCTTGGATGGAGGTCAGGACCCGTTGGAGGAAGAGGGGCTGGAAAGAGCAAGCAGAAGCCAAATGGCCTAGAGTTTTCCAGTCTTTTTGGATTATTTGAGGGAAAATGGTCTTAGCTAGGCTTTGTACCTTCTCCAGCATCTAGCAATAGTCTTCTCCAAATACGTCCATTTTCTCAGGCAGTTACAGAATGAAGTCTAGATTACTGGGAACTTTCTAACTGATAGTAGTTAAGGGGGGGTGGGAGTGTTCTTCCAAGGGATGCCCTTCTCTTTCTAGTGAGGAACAGACAGATGAGAAATTGAGGCAGAGGGGCCAGTGGCTGGGTTGATCAGTGCAATAGACTCAGTAAAACCTTAAAAACTTTTGGGGTGAGGGAGGAGACTGAGTCTGCTGTTCTAGGGATTGCAGTTTAAGGGGTTGATGGAGGGTGCATCTGGGGGGGTCTATGTGACTGGGCCTCTTTCCCAGGCCCCCACCAATTGTACCCCTCATCCCGATCCCACCATGGCGAGTGGGCGGCCAGACCTGAAGAGGAGTTTCTCCATAATACCCTGCTTCATCTTTGTGGAGGTGAGGACCATGCAGGTCAGCATAGAGGATTTGGGGGAGAGGTTTCTGGAAAGTAAAGAGATGCCCTCAACTTTAATCACTATGTTATCTCTCCTTGGTTTGTGACTCTCTCCTGATTTTTGTTCTCTTTGTAACTTCTCTCTCTCTCTCTCTCTCTCTCTCTCTCTCTCTCTCTCTCTCTCTCTCTCTCTCTCTCTCTCCTTCCCTCCCCCCTTCTCCATTTCTTTATTTATCTTTTCTACCTCTTTGCCCCCTCCCCAATAACCCTTATGTGGAGTTCCATCTCTGTGTCTTCATTGGTGGCTGTTTGTTTCTCTTCTCTCCATATCTTTCCTGTGTCCCACTGTCCACCTCTGCCCGGCCTGGACTGGCAGTCAGTGCTCCTGGGAGCCGTAGTACTTCTTGCCTATCGCCTGGAATACACAGACACATTCCCAGTGCACATGCAGGGTTTCTTCTGCTATGACAGCACTTACGCCAAGCCCTACCCAGGGCCTGAAGCCACCAGCCGTGTCCCACCAGCTCTGATCTACCCCCTGGTCACTGCAGGGCCTGCCATCACGGTAATTCCCAGGGTCTTAGAAGGTGTCGATTGTGGAGGGAGGAGGATGATTAAGGTAGGGCTGCCCCTACAATCTTAGTCTTTCCTCCCAGATCCTCTTTGGAGAACTTGCCCGGGCCTTCTTCCCAGCTCCCACCTCAACTGTGCCTGCCCTGAGAGAGAAGACCATTGTGTGTGGGGACTGCTGCCGCTTCAGTCCAGCCCTCAGAAGGCTGGTCCGCTTCCTGGGTGCGGGATGTGAATTGGGACTTAGCCAGGTGGTGGGGCAAGCAGGGGTTAGTTTGAGGGAGTCTGGAGAAAAGGATGAGGAAAAGGTTCCAGGGCGAGGAGGAGCCCACACTCTGCCCCTGGGTGGGCTTCAATCTGTTTTTCTATCCCTCCCTTCTAGGCGTGTATTCGTTTGGCCTCTTCACCACATCCATCTTTGCCAATGCTGGCCAAGTAGTGACGGGGAATCCTACGCCACACTTCCTGTCTGTCTGCCACCCCAATTATACAGCTCTGGGCTGCCCACCGCCAGCTACAGACAAGCCTGGACCGGACCGGTATGTCACCGACCAAGGGGCCTGTGCAGCCGGCAACCCTGCCTTGGTTGCAGCTGCCCGACGTGCCTTCCCCTGCAAGGATGCAGCCCTGTGTGCATTTGCAGTCACCTATACGGCGGTGAGTCTGAGCAATGTCTAGAGAGGACTGAGACAAAGTACCAGACTCCAGCCAAACTTGAAATTAGGAGGCAGTTCCTATCCTGTGCCTCTGAAACCTGTTCTCTCCACCATTTCCCCTCTCCAGTCTGTAAAAGAAGGGGTTCTGTAAAGTGCCCCTGTGACCCTCTCTCCCTCTCCTCTCTCCAGATGTATGTCACACTAGTATTCAGGGTAAAGGGCTCCAGGCTGGTGAAGCCTTCACTCTGCCTTGCCCTGCTCTGCCCAGCTTTTCTGGTGGGTGTAGTCCGTGTGGCTGAGTATCGGAACCACTGGTCAGATGTGCTGGCTGGATTCCTGACTGGGACAGCTATTGCCACCTTCCTGGTTAGTCTCTTTGTGGGGCTGGGCCTCATCCCCCCCCCCCCGGATGCAGGTGGGAGGAGGGGTAGATTATGCAGAAAGAGGGGAGGGGGTATACCCTAGACTGGGAGATAGGATTTCTCCCTGCTTCCCGGTTCGAGTTCTGCATCTGTGCCGGTCTTTGGGGTCTGGTGGGTAAAAGATGAGCACCTTCTGTTATTCCTGCCTCAGGTTACCTGTGTTGTCAATAAGTTCCAGAGCCGAGTGCCTCTGTGCCAGAGAGCATTCCGATGGGAGGGTCTGGGCCCAGTGCCTGCCATTGAGAACCCCCTTGAAAAGTTAAATTCAGCCCAGGTAAGGGACAGCTGGCCACTCCCCCTGCCCCCTCACTTCTTAGTTCCAGATTCCCATACTCAGCTGTGAGCTAGAACCTTGGACTTCCTAAAGGACTCAGTGCCTGGTGAGGGGCAAGCTAGAGGCAGACACTGACTGTCCTGGGTCTTGAGAGTAGGGGTCCCCAGATGACACTGGGGAAGCTTGGGGTGGGGCTAGAGATGGGCCCACCCCACCCACTCACAATTGGTACAGGAAGGGGACCCAGAGTATGGTACATCTGATAGAGGGTTGTTCTCTATATTTATGGAAGTCCTAACCAAACAACCTCCTATGAATAGCACTGCTCCAAACCAGGGATAAGTTTCTCTAAATGGTTGGAGGGCCAGCATTACTATACTATAGTGGAGAGAGAGCCAGAGTCCCAGATTCAAATCCTGACTTTGCTATTTATTAACTGTTTGAACTGGGACAGATCACCTCATCAGGCCTCAGTTTCCCTATCAGTAAAATGAAGGGGTTAGACTGAATGATTTCTAAGACCTTTTGCTTGTCCCACTCTCACCACTGCTCCCATTTGGAGGTCATGACCAGTGACCCCTAATTTGAGATCCCATCTTTGAGAAGGATGGTAAAGGGGGTGGAATATGGTTAATGCTGGAAACTCTTTCTCTTCCATTTGCCCCCTCCTTTCCCATTGTACCCCCTCCATTATTGCCCTCCTGGTGTCCACCCTAACTGGGGGGGGGCCCTCAGTCAGCTCAGGAACAGGAAAAGGAATCGACGGGACAGGGCCAGGGGCCAGGGCTGGGGCCAGCCGGGCCACTAGCCCGCTCCCTCTGCCTGTCTGTCTCAGGAGCCCAAGACCACTGCACCCCCGCTGCAGCCTGCCCGCCTCACCCCACCCAGTGAGTGAACTCCTCTTCTCCTCTCCCCAGAACCCACCCTCCACATCCAACATTTACTCTGGTTGCCTAATTGCTCCTTGGGACCAGCCCAGTCCAACCAGCCTCCCTTCCTTCCTCGGGCCTGCCTTCTCCAGCCTTCGCTGGGTCAAATGATGTAGTGGACAGAGCACCGAATTGGGGATTACAGGCTCCAGGGTTCAGACTCAAGCTCTGGATAGTACCTAAGGTGCTTTCCAGCTCAAAACCCTGATAGGTTCAGGATTATTGGTGGAAAACACCCAGAAAAATACCGCCTCCCCCTCCCTCTCATCTCTAGAGCTCTGTCTGTGGGGGGCTGCCAGCCCTAGCCCTATTCCCTGCTCCCCACGACTTCTGTGCTTTGGAGATCCCCACCCCAACCTTGCCCTTGCCTGTCTTCCCAGAGCTGCAGAGCTGTACTCGTCGGGGCCACCTGATCCCCAGCTGTGTGTCTTCCCGGGCCCCCCCGATGTGTTCTTCCCCTCGTGTTCCCCGTGCTCGAGTGAGGTCTGAGCCAACATTGCCTGCCATGACCCCTGGCCCCAGCCAGGGCCCCCCACCATCCCCTGGACCATCTGTGGCTGGTGGGGGTGGAGGTGGGGGTGGCCGGGGCCGGAAGTTGCTACTGCCCACTCCTCTGCTGCGGGACTTATACACCCTCAGTGGACTGTACCCCTCCCCCTTCCATCGGGACAGCTTCAGCCCCTACCTGTTTGCCAGCCGGGACCACCTGCTGTGAACTCAGGTTCCTAGATCCTGAGAGCCTCTGGCTCCATATACCTCCTGGAGTCAGATGTTCTCAGGCTGTGTGTATGTGTCTCCTGTGTGCCTGTGAGTATGAGTGTGTGTGTGTGTGTGTGTGTGTGTGTGTGTGTGTGTGTGTGCGCGCGCGCGCGTGCGCACCTTCCTGTGTGTGTGGCCCCACCAGCCAATCCCACATGGGTGTGGGGATGGATGGAGAATTTAAAGAAGTCTAGGCCTGGATGGTTTTGTTTCTTACCCTCTTCTCTAGCTGGCTGAGCCCCAGGAGGGTCTTCATTGCCTGATGTGGGGGAATTTGGGATTGGGAATGCTGAGGGAGGAGACCCTCCATTGTCCCAAGGTTTGGAGTGGGGACAGAAGCTCCTTCTTTTTATCCAAAAGCTAATAGAAATAACCTTTGACTTCTTACTATACATTTAGGGTCTCTATGTCTCAAAATTCTAAGAGTGGTTGGGGTTGATGTGATTCCAGTCAATGAGAAAGTCCATGTTTCTAAAACTTGGAAGTAGGGGAGGGGACAAGTGGAGGGATGTCCGACAGCAGCCAATGAGAGTGCTTGGTATCTAAGGACTACAGGAATCTTGGTGCTTGCCAGAGTTGGGCCCTAGATGTCTCAGAATGCCAATAATGGGCAATGATTCCTAACGATGGACCCTAGGTATCTGAAAATTCTTGGGGTTGGGGGGTGGTGGTGGAAGGAAGCCAGTCTCAGCCAATGAGAGCCCCTTCTGATTATTCTGAGCTTACCCCTCTTCAAACAGCAGGATGGAGAAAGGAGGCAGTGATTCTGAACTAGTGGGGAGGCATTGGATTGTCAGGGTCCTACTACTGAAACCCCGTCTCTCATTTTCTTCCCATTGCAAGGTCCTTTGATGGGGGTAGCTCCCACCCAACCCTGAGAGCTTCCCCTATCCTCCCAGCCAAGCTGGGTTTCTCCCCTTATTCTCCCCATCATCCCCCAATTCCAATCATTATGTTAATGACCCTAAACTCTGAGTTCCCCTCCAGCTACCAGTGCTGGAAGGAGGGATTCTCTTCTACTCTATGCTCTGAGACTAAAGTGGGGGAAAGGGAGTTGAGCAGTCTTTGAGGACAGGGTGTTGTCTTTCTCCAAGTGCTCTATCCCTCATTTCCTTGGTCCTAGATTTGTTGGGGGTGGGTTTGGGAGGGGATTCAATGTTTGGACCTAAGGGCAGAGTCCTGTGGTGGAGAATGGAGAGGAGATAGGGGGTTCCTTGTGACCTACACATGGGAGACTGCCTTTCATGTCCTGGCTTCCTCATCCCACCACAGCAAGAAACAAAAACAAAAAATAACCTTTTCCCTTCCTGAACTGGCTGTGCTAGTTCTAGGGCACAATACCCCCAACAGCCCTGGCCCTGCCCCAAGGGAAGCTAAAGGGGGCAATAGAGAGAGACCTCTCCTCCACTCCCAGTTTCACAGCCTTTAATAAAGATCTGTTTGTATCAGAAATACCCCAGCATCTGTTTCCTCTATGCTTACAAGAGTATACATGTGACTGTTCTCCCTGAATGTGACTAACCATGTGCCTATGTGGTGTGTGAATTTGGCTGGAGCATGTGAACAAAAGAGACAGAGCTGGAAGCAGGCCTGGGCCATGGAGCTTTGCTCTGGGATAACTACTTTAGATGGTGCCTTCAACTTCCATTTAAAATATTCCTCCCCTTCAGTAGCCTCAACACCTCGTTGTCCAGGGGCTTGCTGTCTCCAGTGGTGACCGCCCTCTGCCCCTCCAAGTTGCCACCACTCCCCATCAGTGGCCAGTCCTTCAGCCATGTACAAACCTCCTGGTATCCTGGGCCTGGTCTGTCTCCTCCTGCCCTTACCTCAACCTCCAGCTCCCCAAAGCAAAAGCTGTTAAGTCCCTGAAGGTAATGCACCAGGCTGCTGTAAGGGTCATCAGGGGCTTTGAGGTGCACCGAAATCAGGACAAATGAGTGTTGTCCCCCTGGCTCATTTGCTTAGAGATTATGATGTGGACACGATTCTTTCCCGCTCTGGGCTTCTGTAAGAGGAAGGGATTGAATGGCACAATCTCCGAGGTCGTTCCAACTCTGAAGTTCTATGATTGTTAGGTGGAGGTTAAATGGTTTCTGGCTTGGGAGTTCTATCCTACCTCATTCTCACATTATCTCTTTCTCTATCTCTCTCTCAATCGCATGCAGATATAGGTATCCTCAAAGACGACCACAGGTCGTCATTTTTTGGGGGTGGGGAGGGCAGATGCTTGGCCGGTGACTCGCTCCACATTGCGAGGGCTCCCTGATTGGGGGTGGGAGCAGGAAGGGACTGGGGCCCATTTGCTCTGACCTGCCACCCGGGCACCTGCCACCCTGGCATGCAGCTGGAACCCACGTGCCTCGCCTTCCCCTCGGCCAAGAGTGGGGGCGCGGGGGCGTGGCCGTGGGCGGGGTAGGCGGTGGAAGGGAGTGAGCGGGACTAGGGCCAAGGCAGCCTCCCCAGGCCGGGCGGTGTCCGAGCCTCCTGCTGCTGCTCTGGGCCGCGCCCCTTCCCTGAACACCGTAGCACGGTCAAGGCCTGGCAGACGTGAGGGAAGGTGGGAGCAGGAAGAGAAAAACTCAGCGGGGACGGAGGCTTCCCGGAGATGCGGGTTTGTCAGGAGGAGGGGTCCTCTGTCTGGCCCTTACCTCCGCCCCGGGCCCAGCTCCAGTCTTGCTCTCTCCACTGCAGGGGGCGGGTTGGGGATGGAAGCGTTGGTTTTTTCAGAAACAGAGATTTCCGGAGGGGGGGGCGGGGAGCTGGGCCTGGACGGGCGGGGGCGAGGCACGGGCGGCGCAGGATTCTCCCAGGATCCACAGACAAAGGGTGAGTCCACCCCCGGCCCTGCATTCACCATGACCCCGGTCTCCCAGAACCTTGGCCCTTGACCCTCAGAATCCCGAATTTTCTAAGGCTCGGGCCTCTTCTCGCTCAGGCATCGACCCTTTGACCCGCAGAACGCTGAAACCCCGCCCCTGCCAGGCCTTGATCCCCATAACTCAGAACACCCCAGTCACTGGACTTTCATAATCCTTCAGGTCCCTGGCTAGTTGCTTCAGGTTAGGACCCTCTTTTCGGCGGAAGGCTGGAGCGAAGCCTTTCCCTGTCCTGAACCGTATCTCTGTCCCTATCTTACTCCCATTTCAATCACATCTCTGCGTTTCTCTCTCAATGTCTCAGGGTTCTCCGTGTCTCTTCTCTCTTCCTCCACAGTTATTACCCGGACTACTATCCTACCCTCTCCTCCGCAGCCCTAATCTATCTGGCCTACCCAGGAACTGTGGCCAACTCCCCCAGCCCTTCTCGGAACCCTCAGTATTTTCCTAGTCCAGTACGCTGGAGCAGGGAGCTGTCCACGGTTCTGAAGCCGGGCCTGAGGCTGAAGGAGGGGGGTTGTGTGGACTGCCCCGCCTTTGCTCACAACTCCGCCCCCAGGGTCTCCAGGGCCTGGGATACTGGATAGGGGCTAGAAGCCTCAAGTCTGGGAAGAGGACTAAGACCAGTTCTCCTGAGATCCTGGAAGAGGGTCCAAGGTCCTGGGGAAGTACTGTTGGAGCATAGAAGTGGGAAAGGGAACTCTGGGAGGTGGGGGGTCTTCTTGGGGTGGGACTAGGTAACAACTCACAGTACAGGTTTTAGGGATGTAAGATATTATTGTTCAGGTGCGAGTTGGATTGGAATTCCTCTGAGGTCCATTCCAACTCTTAGATTCTGGGTCTCAGGGCTTCAGGAGCTGGAAGGGAGGGGCTTGGTCCCTGGGGGCCTAGAAGAGAATTCCAAGGGTGAAATGTCTAGTTGGCCAATTGCTGTAGGGGTGGGGTTGGGCCTGGGTTATGCAGGAGGCCTGTGGATCTGGATGAGAGGTCCTTGGGGCCAGGGTCTGGAAGTACAGCTGAAATGAGAGGGTCTCAAGTTGACATCCAGGTTGTGAGGTCAGAGTGGGGTTGGGCTGGAGCCAGCTTGCATTGTGACTACAAGCCTGGTGGAGTCCAGAGCTGCTATTCCTATTGCCACCGCCCAGGGTGGCCAAGGAGTACTCCCAGTTCTGGTGCCACAATTCCCCAGGCCCTACCCCAATGGCCAGCCCCCCGCGATAACGGGTATTCTTGGGTAGATAATACCGATGGCGCTGTTATTGCTTGAGAATACACGTAGTCGAGGGGGAGGTGCCTTCGCCGACCCCCTCCCCCCGATGCCCAGCCTCTCCCAAAGGAGACAGGGCCTGGCCAGGGATTGAGGACCCGGGGAGTGGGGTGGAATGTCTTTCTAAATCTTTATATCCCTCTTCTCCCTCTTTTCCTCTTATCTCTCCATGTCCCACTCCCAACACGCATACTCTTCTCTGCAACCTCCTAGCCTCTTTCCCTCTATCTACTTCTTTCTCAATTCTGGACCTTTTTACCCTGCTCCTTGTTTTATCCAAGAGGACCTCTCTACAGGGTTAGACTCCTTGTAATGGTCTGGGATGGATCAAGAAACAGCAGTCTCCGGGAAAGGAGAAAGAAAGGGGAAAAATGAGTCTTTCCTCCTCCCAGTATATCCCTGTTAGCACACCCAAAGCACATCTGTAAGAGGTCGAGGGTGTCTGTGTAAGTCTGTGTGTTGGTGTGTGTCTGTGTGTGTGTGGGGGGGGAAGGGAGTTAAGCTTGTAGGCTAAGGGTGTTACCCAGGACTGGGCATGTGTGTAGGGGAGGGGGTGGTGGTGGAAGGAGGGAGGCTACGCAAAGCCTGTAGACTGAGGGTGTCTCAAGGTGCATGGAGTTGGAGATGTGGGGGTGGTACTGATCCTGTAGGCTGTGGAGGTGTCCTACTCAGAAATCCCTGATGGGATATGTGTTTATGTGCTTTGCTGCTACTGCTCTGCTGCTGCTGCTGCTGTTTCCTGGTCCCAGAAGCCTCCACCCACCTGGGATCTCCTAGCAACAGCCTCTCTGTGGTTGCCAGGCAATGGTGCTGGATGGGGAGTGATTGACAGATGGAAGATGGACAGGCTGAAGCAGTGAATGATACTGGGCAAAGAAGCTGAGCCCAAACCATCGTTTATCTTTCCTTTATCTCCCAGTCCTCAGGGCGTTGCTCCAGTCTCTGTGGTCCAAAGTCTCCAGGATTTCTGGAACATAAAACATCCCTGCCATCTGCTCCCAGTGCCTCATGTCTCAGAACACCACCCTCACACATATACATTTATTCATACACACCTCACTGACCATTAATGCCTGGAACAACCCCTCTGTGTCTCTACACATATGCATTATTTATGCCCTAAGTCAGAGAAGAACTCCTCCAAAACCATATGGTCATTCTAGTATTTATGATAGGATTGGAATCTGGAAGAGAATTTAGAGATCACCTGGTCCCATCCTCTCATTTTACAGATGAGGAAACTGAGAAGAAGAAGAACATGTTCAAAGCCATACATGTAGTAAATGGCAGTGCCAAAACTCAAACCTAGGTCCCCTGACTCCAAATCTAGGACTGAAAGGCAGCTAGGTGGCACAGTGGATAGAGCACCAGCCTTGGAGTCAGGAAGACCTGAGTTCAAACCTGGCCTCAGATACATAACACTTACTAGCTGTGTGACCCTGGGCAAGTCACTTAACCCCATCCCTAGCCAAAAAAAAAAAAAGGCAAACAAACAACCAACCAAATCTAGGACTTGGTAGAGCTATGAGAATGAGTGGAACATGGCAGAAAAGCAAGATGGTATTTATTTTATTTTTTAACTGGGGAAAAGGACCATGAGCCTGTACCTGTCCACACTCTCCATTGACCAGGCAACTGGTCCACTCTGGGGCATGGAAATAGAACAAGCAGTAGATAGGAAAACACCTGGATCAAGTGGGTGCTTGCAGGTTCATGAATGCAGGAGTGAACATACACATGCCTGTGCAGAACAACATGTGCATGGAAGGATGGATGGATTATGGCCACACACTCAGGCAGAGACGTGCTATATCATGCATACATACCGAGACAGGCCTATGGGACCCTAGGCCCAATCCCAGAGGATCAGAAACTCAGGGGTGAGGAGTCATGCAGATTAGGAAATCTACCTGGGCTTTGCCCAACCATATTCTTTACCTGAAATGCAGTCACTGTCTCCTAGAGACCCTAGCCTGGGGTGCAGAAAACCAAGGAAAACTAAACCTATAATTAAGGTTGGAAGGGTGGTGTTCTCATCCATCCCAGGTGAATTGGGGGCTTGAGGACCTGGGTTTGGTTCTTCTTGTGACGTTGGGAAAACCACATTGCCCCTTTGTGGACCTCAGTTTCCTTGTCTATAAAGTAATAGCTCCTAAGTATATGTGTGCCTGTGTGTGATGAAGTAAGTAGCAAAACTCAGGTCCATTTTAACTCAAACAGTCTATCATCCTGATGGGCCAAGGATCCCTGGTGACAGAGCTCTGCTCTGAAATCATTCTTTCCCACCAATGGGGGGAAGGAGAAGAGAAA